TTGATGTTCATAAGACGTTTTCTTGCCTAGGGACAAAACCATGAGTTTATTAATGAATATTTACATTTCTACTGAACTTGGACTCAATATATCTACTAAACATTTAGAGGTTATATTTGTCAATGAACTTTTCAGTTGACGTATGAATACATTAGCATATTATCAACCTGATTACTCTGTTCTTCCACAGAGCACGCTAAATAGTTCTATTAATAGATTATATTTTTTCCCAGAAGTATTTCACTGATATAAAAAAAAAACTAATTTACATCAGAGACGTATAATACATACGTATTTATACGTCTCTGTTTACATCTTCTTTTGTTTTTTCCTTGTTTATCTATATATTTATCTAACCGGGACAACATCTTATAGTTAGTGATGACATCATAAGCTTCGGTACCTTCTGTGGTGTTAGACTTGCACAAGACCGATATTTTAGAAATTATCAATATTGCACTGAATGTAAATACATGTATAAGAAAAGAATCCCGTTTTGTCAAGATTTATGAGGTATAAACCTCAATGGGTCTTAAGAAAAATTTGTCTCAAGACCCATTTAAAGCTTTATACCCCATAAACCTTCACAAAACAGGATTCAATCCTTAAATATAATCAAGAGTTAATTGAGTGTAAATGTATTACTATAGGCTAGGGCTGTAACGATATATCGTATCTTATCGTATCACAATACTTTCTTGTGTATCGTATCAAACTGTCTTTTTTTTTTTTGTATCGTGATCGATACCCTAACAATACTTGAATTATCACATCCAATTTTTATCAAACTCTAAAAAAGTGTATTTAGAGTTTTTTGAATGGTTCGGTGAAGATGTGGCCCACTGTGAAGTCATACCCAAAATGACTAGAAAATCATACAAAAATAGACTTCAATAGTATTTACTACTGATGTCTATGACAAACCTTGATAAAGTCCTGCACCCAATAATAATGAAGTTGACCTTATAAGCAAATATTTGTATTGTGATATATGTAATCACTCACCATTGTCAACGTCATACTATTAGTCTACGACTATACTATTGTATTGTTTATAGTTTGGTTTAATTTTGTTTAACGTCCTATTAACAGCTTAGGTCATCTAAGGATGTGTATTGTATCGTAAGCATCAAATTGTGAGATATGCATAATTCTATTTAGTCATTGCAATTGCAGCCCTTACAATTACTGATATATATTTCAGACCAATTAACAGGAAGAACAAGCATATAGCCTTGTACATGTATATCCCACTTGCTTATATGCACTAGCTAGGTCATACAGACGCCCACAGACAGGTGACAATACAGAATGTAGTTTAACAATGATTACCGGCATTACCTTGTGATTATAATACATGTTTATAGCTATATGTTTTATTCATATATATATATATATATGTAAAAGGAGGAAAATATAGTTTGCTTTTACCTGGAACCTCTAGCTTCCACGCTCGACAACTCTACCTATTGAGATCAAGGAAAATTCACTTAAACATAATGCTAGAAGGCAACCATGACATCATATGAGCAATTAAAACCTATCATATTTGTACATATATATACTTACTGTTTGTCGTTTTCATGTTATTGAAGAGCGTTTCGCATGGTTTAAATGCAAGTCCGTCTATAAATACCAAAGGTGTAATTTAAGTATGGGATGTCTGTACTCAACACTAGGGTATCCGAGTAGCAAAATTCACACTAGTCTATATCAGAGTATCCACATACACTTGACTATATCCTAGGCCTACTCACTCAGAACACATTTAGCACAAAACTTCATGCTCGAAGCCATTCAATCAGAAGCTGGTCAACAATGAAATGGCTAGTGTAAACGGAGTAAACAACTTATAAAAATCACACAAAAATCAGTCTGTACGCTTCTCGGGTTCTTCAAAGTCGCTCAGGTGTAAAACACTCTTCACAAAGACGATGGCTGAGACTAGATTTACAGGGATTTCATGTATAAACGTACGAGAGTTGATGCACAGACAAGTGAAGTGGGTAGTTTAGATGGTACAGGTGGCCTGGGTGTTTATATAACAATATAGAAACACAATGTACTATGTGTATACAGTTCAATGGTCTTACAAGTAATGACATCAGTAAACCCTAAAGGCATTTTTGACATATCAACAAGACATGATATATTGATGTACTAAGTTCAATCTAATAAATATTTAAGCTCCCTTGTACCTGACTCTATACCAAATCAAGTCGTATAAATTTATGCAAGGTCAAATAGTTGTCGAGAAATTGTGGCAATTAAGTTATAAACAAGACGCCCCGTCATAACAATATTAGCATTTTCAGTATCTGATATGCCTGTACAGTAATCAAGAAGTTCGACATTACACCTGGTTATCATGAAACTTTGCCGAAAGAATCTTCTTTTAATTTATTCCATATATCTGCAAAGCAGTATTTTGTCCCGTTAATGTGGGATTTGGCCTTCTTGTCTCATTTTGGGGAAAAAATATACCAATTGGGAAGGAAATTTTCAGAAGTTAACTGCAAATTTTGGGAATAAGGCAAAATATGAAATAATTTCAATAAGTTTCATGCGGTTTCATCATAAGCTGGAAAAAGCTTGTTTCAAAATTGTTGTAAAATATTGACATTTATATACAAATTAAACCTTATTTAATGTAGTTTATGAATTTCTTAGCTATACTTTGTTTCTTGTTATGTCTCAATATCATGAATTTTAAGGTACTGCATTAATTTTATCTATTGTTGATATGGGCGGATGCTGACCATTAAAAGGAGGTGAGAGGGTCAAAAGTCGTATGAATTTGTGGCTATTTTTAGCACCCTATATAAGAACATGCACTAGCTGACCCTAGGTCACAAGCCTGCTGAAGATGATGGAATTCGAAGAACAAGATGTGTACCTTCTTTTTACATCATGATTAAATTTTGAAAAATATCTGAAAGTGAATTTTATTACCCACCACCTCCCCTTCTGGCCTCCTTCTCAATATTATTATTCCTTCTTTATCGGGGTGTTTTCTTACCCCATCTAAGACTGTTAAGTACATTGGACAAAAACTTTAAAAGATAAAGTTTTAATATAAACATGTCGTTTTGAATAAAAAAAAAGACATTTTCAATTCATTTGTTTATGCACTTAACATGTCTTACACGCTTGCCCTGGTGATATTTACTTGGATTCAGGCATAAAACTAGTCAACATTTTTGAAATTTCCTCTGGAGAGATTTATAGGCGTGCTCAGAATTAAAAATATAAATAAAAGGTGAAATCATCAATCTTTGAAAATATAAGGAATATAGTTTGGCTGGAAAAACTTGTTTTAAAATTGTTGTAAAATATTAACGTTTCTATAACTAGAGAACATTTTTGAAATTTCCTCGGGAGAGGATAAGCTTGCTCAGAATTAAAAATAAAAATAAAATATGTGTATGTACACCCAATGGAAAAAATAACTTAAAAAAACAGCTTTTAAGCCGTTCCATGAATCTTTGAAATAAGGAATATAGTTTAGCAAATTCACTGGTTGTAAATGCTCAATTTAAGGGTCCTCATTCTTGAATCTCCCACAATAATTATAAGGAGAGTTGGCAAGTATGAATTCATAAAGTTTATATACAAAAGGCCCAGAGGGCCTGTATCACTCACATGTTTCTTTTGTAAAATGAAACTGACATATACACATTGTAGGTAAGACCATATTTGGTAACTAGAACACCAGACATTTTAACATCTCTTAAGATATTGTTGATTGAAGTTTTTAACATGTTTGACCCCTGTGACCTTGAAAGTAGGTCAAGGTCATTTTAATGAGGAGCATGCCATCCCAGGTACCTACTGGCCAACAATCATGTCCCTGAGCATTATGGGACTTGAGAAGATTGTCAAAGCTTTAACCCATGTTGACATTTTACCCCTGACTAGCACTTAAATTTGACCTTTGACCTCATTACTGTAATAAAGAAAAAGATTTGCATTGCTGGTCTACATAATATATCCAAGTATCATGACTCTAGTCTTTATGGTCCTTTAAATATTGTTGTTTGATTTTCATTTTACATATTTGAACCCTGTGACCTTGAAAGTAGGTCAAGTTCATTTTAATGAGGCAGCTTTATAGCACTCCAGCCAATCTACCTACTGGTCAAATGTCGTGACCCTAGGTCCTCCAGTTCTTCAGAAGATGTCTTTCAAAAGAAAAAGTTGACAGACGGATGACGCCGCAGTACGGCATAAGCTCACATGGCCTTTCGGGCCAGGTGAGCTAAAAATAAAACAGCAAGACTGTGAATGACCCAAGACCTCTGAACTCTAGACCGACACTTATAACGAATTGAGCTACTTTATACTTGGAAATTTTCACAGTTTAACTTCCGTCTTTATTCGCCCTCCCTAATGAGGCTAGGTAGTCTAGTGGTAGGACCCCCGGGCTCATGACCCAAGGGTGGCCGGTTCATTCACGGCACAGCACGGCACTGTGTTGTATCTTTGAGCAAGATACTTTACCTCGCTTTTTCCAGTCTACTCAGCTGTAAATGAGTACGTGGTTGGGCAGAGCTATAATTGTAGAATGCTAGCTGTGCGCGCCGAAATGGCAGCACCGGCTGTATGCTCCCAAGGGAGTTGAGAAAGATATTGACTGGTTGCAAAGGCCCTATAACCACGGATTTAATAATTTGTGAACCGCTTTGAGATGATCTACGATTTAGGTTGTGACACAGCAGTATATAAGAACCTCAAATTATTATTACAGTGTATTATTAATTCATCATGACAGTGAATATAAGTACACAAAATACAATATATACCGTATATTGCATGTGAATGGCAAAATTAACACTATATGGTGAATATTTTACAGGTCGAAAGTTTTCCAGTATACAGAACCTGGCTGCTGGTAATCCAGTCCAATTCTGTTACAGTTAGAAGAAGAAAGGAAGTCATGCATGAGTAAGGAAAGAGAGAAGATAGAATAGGAGGTACAAGAGAATAAGATAGGATTTTACCTGTCATTGTTACACAACAAATTGTTCAGTTTTTATAAGATCACCAAATCTCTCAAACGATACACCGTCATCCAGGATCGATCTCTGCTACATAGAAGTTGGAAACTAGAAGAATCTGTTCCCGAGAGTTGTGCATCCAAATTTTATAATCTCCGACATGAATTACTGTTGAAGAAGGTATAATCAATAAACGGTTAAATCAATCATATATCAATATCGAAGGTGAATGATTCTAGTGACACAGACAGAACTCTCTGTAGTAAAAAATTACCGAGTCATCTCTCTATATATATGTACAATTTACTTATCATAGGCAAAAGAACAAATTATCTGTTTCTAATTTCTCGACCTACCCTGGTCTTAAATACATATAGACATTTATTTACTTTATCTTATCTTGACAATACTGTTGATATTTTGACAGCTATCTTCACAGTACATATAGTCTTTCAAATGTTTTTGCAATAAAAAAACAAAAAAAACCACACCAGTATGCCTATACTATTTGAGGGCAGGAAGCAGAAACACAATGTTAAAATAGTTTGGCCCCATAAGGGTCAAATTCATGGGGCCAAATTCCTTAATAACACAGGTAGCTACATGTGCCTGCATGTGGATATTTGTATCTCTAAACAACTACAGTGAGATAGCCTGGTATAATGAAAAGCAAATCCAGGTCGGGTAGATTGTGCAAAAACAGTGTATTTATCTCTCAACTCAACTAAGTAGGGGATGGGGTTATATTACAAGACAATGAAAATCAAAATAACATTTGTTTGCATTTCTAATGACCTGTAGTAAATAGAGTAGTAAATGTTGATTTTTTTTAATAATAGCCCTAATGCTAAAGTGCTAAAGAGTTTAATTCAAGGGTATAGGTATGTACCGTATACGCTTTATAGGTCAAATATGATACAATATAAGTACTATTTAAGGGAATGTACGTATACGTATAATTAAGATGTACTTTACTATAAATTGCACAAAATTGAAATAAATTTACATATAGGCGCTAGTAACGGAAACAATATTTTTCAAAGAATCTTTTCAATAATAGCCCTAATGCAAGTGCTAAAAGAGGTTGTTTTCTTGTAATGGTTTTTATTTTTCCAAGTTATTCATTACATATACATATATATAAACAGGACATTCACGTATTCTCACATATACACACACGGACATGGATTTATGTGCTTAAGAGTTTAATTTAAGGGAAGGTACCTATGCTTTATAGGTCAAGTATTGTACAATATAAGTACTATACAGAAGTTGTACCTTTCTGTAAAAATGCTTAAGACTTTGATTTAAGGGTAGGTATGCTTTGTAGGTCAAGTAATGTACAAGGTAAATACTATAAAGAAGATGTACTTTACTATAAATTGCACAAAACTGAAATAAATTTACATATAGGCACTAGTAACGGAAAAGATATGTTTTAAAGATTTATTGAACCTTTTACCTGTTGGTAAATTAAGACATGTACATACATGCAAGTACATAATTAGAATCAAGATTATTTCATAAAAAATACCCCCCCCCCCTTCCCCAACAAAAAGCAATAAAAGGAAATAGAACAACAGACAGTTGGTTGAGATCTTTGAAAAATGAAACAGAATCATTAAGTGCACAAAACTAACTTTAAAAACTCAATGTGATTTTATTTTATTAAAATTTAATGACCCTTATGACCAGTTGGTAAATAAAGGCATATAAAAAGAATCATAAGATAATTTGCACTAACCCCCCCCCCCCCCAAATAAAATTAAATAGAACAGACAGGTGGTTAAGATCTGTGGAAAACAGAATCTTGGCTGAGGAGTGTGGGCACTTTTTCCCCACCTTTGTCCATGCTCCATACTGTTTTTCATGCAATATTAGCTAGGCCTGCCCAAGTACATGTATATCATGATGATTAAAGATAGTATCTCGGAGGAAATAACCCGGGAGCAACACACTTCATTTACCAAATTAAATTTCCATACAGCATGACGAGTTTGACAACTGAAAATGTCACATTCATCAGAATATGGGCTTACTGTTGTGACTTAATGGAGGGTGTATATATAAATACGAAGGAGTCAAAAGATGGGTATCAGTGATTTTTTAGCGAAAAATGGAAGTAATGTACTGTAATTGTACATATTTTACCTGTAATCTTAAAGTTAGTATTTTAATGCAGACTCTAAAGCTCTTATTTACCTAGGTACAGCAGCCATAATACACTAGTATTATCCTTTCACTTCGAATACCCTAAATTCTCAAAAATAAGACTGATTTGAAAATAAGCCAGGCTTAAAAGTTTTTAGTCTTGAATTTCTGGTATTTAAATACATCTCAATAACAAGAGGCCCAATGGGCCTGCATCGCTCACCTGTTATTAATCTAACACTTGTAATCTTAAGATTTCATAAGAACCTATCAAAAGATTTAAACATATAACGCCTCTGACCTTAATTGTCGAACAAGAACATTAGGTTAAAAGTGGATCAAGGTCATTCATTTGAACTAACATGGTAGTCCTTCATCCCAGCATGCTACAGGCCCAATATCAGTACCCTGGGCCTTTTGGTTATTGAGAAGCAGTTGTATGAAGATTTTAAAGACATCTGACACCAGGGACCTTGAAAGTGGGTCAAGGTCATTCATTTGAACAAACTTGGTAGCCCTTCATCCCAGCATGCTACAGGCCCAATATCAGTACCCTGGGCCTTTTGGTTATTGAGAAGAAGTTGTATGAAGATTTTAAAGACATCTGACACCAGGGACCTTGAAAGTGGGTCAAGGTCATTCATTTGAACAAACTTGGTAGCCCTTCATCCCAGCATGCTACTGGCCAAATATCATCTTCTTAGGCCTTTTGGTTACCGAAAAGAAGTTGTTTAAAGTAAAAATTTGAAGCCGGACAGACGGACGGACGGACGGCGGACGCCGCACCATAACATAAGCTCACTTGCCCTTCGGGCAGTCGAGCTAAAAAAACATCTTTGAAAATAGGCCAGCGTTGAAAGCAGGCATTGAATTCAGGTATGCGCCACATTTTCCCTGTCTGCCTAATTAGACCAGTTTTACAGGTAAACATCACATCACACAACTTATTATTGCATAATTCGATAGCAGAAACCTTTAAAAATTTATGTAAGATAATTGAAAACCCCTATAGAACATTAAATTTTTACATGCAAAAGAGAAAAAGGAAAATTATCCGGCTTCCACAAAATCCCGAGATTCCATACTAAAAATGAAAACAAGAGGCCCAATGGGCCTGCATCGCTCACCTGGTATAAATCTCACACTTGTAACCTTAAAAGTGGTCTAAAATAAAGCTACAGGCAAAATATCAGTATTTAGGGCTTTTCACCAACTGGTGAAAAGACCTATTGTTTTTGTTAAGTTTCTTATTATTCTTCTTATTATTCTTCTTCCGTACTTTGTGGAATCTGTATCTTTTGATTGGTAAAAGAGAGGTTAATAGTCTTTTAAGTATGTTGTAGGAAAAGTTCTAAAGCTGATCAAGCAACATTTTCAAGGTGGTCAAAAATTAAATATGGCCACCATGACGTCATAGGTCAAAATCTTAAAATGGCCATAACTCAAAAACGGTTTAATTTACAGAATTGACGCAAATATATTATATGTAGATAAGCTTTGGGGCTAACTTTATTTACCGCGCATGGTTTTTCATTTAAAGGTCAAATAAAAAAGCTCGCTGTTGGGTCAAAGGTCATAATTTTTAAAAAATATTCATTTTTCATTTTTTTGGAAAAATACTTCTACAGATCGATGGAGGATGTCATTCCGATGAAGTTGATGTCTTAAGTTTTTCTGAAACATTTACCGTTAAGGTTGTACGCCATTTTGAAATGTTTCCTTTGATCTTTTAAAAATTTCGCAATATTTTAAAACTTGTTTTACTCCAATATCAATGACAAATATTTCGTTTAGTTGTTACGGGAAAAGTTTCCCTAGATGTCTTCTAACATTTGGTAACGGTTTCAACTTCATCAAAAAAACAAAATGGCCGCCATGACGTCATAGAGTAAAATCTTTAAAACCGCTATAACTTGAGAACCGTTGATTGTACAGAATTTGTGAAAGTAAATTATTTGTAGATAATTTCCATATCTAACTTTTTCTCACTACATGTTAAAACAAAATATTTCTAATTAAAAAGTGCGCCCCTGGGTCGAAGTTCACCAACTATTTTAAAAGCATTCATTTTTCATTATTTTTGAAAAAAAATTCAATAGATTGATAAAGAATGTCATTCCGATGAATTCGATGTCTTTAGTTTTTCTGTAACATTTACCGTTAAGGTTGTACGCCATTTTGAATATTTCCTTTGATCTTTTAAAATGCTGACAATATGTTAAAACTTCAACGATCTTCTTCTCCAATTCTGCCATTGCAATATTAACCACAATTAATACATGTATTCCTCTAGGGGCCCTTACGAACTTATGTTACTTTTTGGAGCCATTAATATTCCAAGATGGCCGCCACGAACTCTGATTGGTTAACAGCCTATACCAATATATTTCGTTAACGATATCAAACACGAGGTTGATCTTTGGATATCATATAGAGATAGCCAAGGGCAAACTTTTTCTTTCATACTGATTTAACAAAAAATGTCAACTTCCGGTTTCCGGCAGGGGTCAAAGTTAAAAGGCACTATATTGGGTACCAACCTTAAAAAATCTTCTTCTCAAGTTCCACAAGGTCTAGAGTCTTGATATTTGATAATAAGAATTATGAGATGTCGGGGTATCAGGTTTGAAAAAATGGTTGACATTGATCAACTATCAAGGTCACAATCAAGGTCACAAACTTCATATGTGCTATTTCAAGATAATGACTTCAAAAAACTTCTTCTAAAGTTCTACAAGGTCTAGAGTCCTACTATTTGATACATAACATGGTCAGGTGATTGACTATCAAGTTTGAAAAAATGATTGACCTTGAATGACTTTCAAGGTCACAGAGGTCATATATGTAAAAATATTGAAACCACTTTTTCTGAATAACCAATAACTCCAGGGTAACGATGTTTGGCAAAGAAGCATGCTTGAATGAAGGGCTTTAACGTGTGTGCAAATGAACGACCTTGACCTACTCTAAATATAATTTCAACGGTGAAGGTCAAAAACCGTTTTCATTTTTGTGCGATTGTGAAGTGCTTTCAGTACTTTGATTTTTATCAGGACATCTAATACACGCTGACAATACTACATCGATTACTACGCACTCGCAATCTTAAAAATGTGGAAAGTTTACACCTCTGTTGCAGTGGGTAAACATCAGCCTTCCCTTGGCGAGGCAAACCCAACCGATATAGACACAAAGAAAGTTTCAATAAATCGTCCTGACGTACATAGTGGACGGACTATATGACGACATTAACAGACTACATTCGTATACAACCCCGCCCATTGGCTGCCTATATTTATCCAATCTTTCTCTGACGTCATTTCGCGCTCCGGGAATCCCCCACTACTCAGCCAGCTACTGTAGACTTGCACAGGTTATTATTAGAAGGCCAAATCAGTCCTTACACTGAAAAGCCCGTCAAATTGTTAGCCAACAATTTCTAGTTATGATTAAAATTCATTCAAAAGACCCTGTTAATTTTTTTTAAACATTTCGACCCTGTGATTGAAAGTTGAACAAATTTTATAGCCTTTCATCTCGGGATGCAACTAGCAAAGTATCAACATCCTGGGACCCATGGTTATTCAGAAGAGGTCGTTTAAAGATTTTAAACAAATTTGACCCCTGTGACCTTCCATATGGGTGAAGGTCATTCATTTTAAAAAACTTTGTAGCCCTTCATCTCAGCTAGCTACTGGCCAAATGGCATCGCCCTGGGCATTTTGGTTATTCAGAAGTTGTTTAAAGTTTTTAACATATTTGACCCCTGTGACCTTGAATACGGGTGAAGGTCATTCATTTGAACAGACTTTGTAGACCTTCATCTCCGCATGCTACTGGCCAAATGGCATAACCCTGGGCATTTTGGTTATTGAGGAGAGGTTGTGTAAAGTTTTCAACATATTTGACCCCTGTGACCTTCCATATGGGTGAAGGTCATTCATTTGAACAAACTTTGTAGACCTTCATCTCAGCATGCTACTGGCCAAATGGCATCACCCTGGGCATTTTGGTTATTCAGAAGAAGCTGTTTCAAGGTTTTTTTAAGACAATTGACCCCTGTGACCTTGAATATAATTGAAGGTCATTCATTTGAACAAACTGGGTAGCCCTTCACCCAAGCATGCTACTGGCCAAATCTCATCTACTTGGGCAGTTTGGTTATCGAGAAGAAGATGTTTAAAGTTTTTAACATATTTGACCCCTGTGACCTTGAAAATAGGTGAAGGTCATTAATTTTAACAAACTTTGTAGCCCTTGATTCCAGTTTGCTTCTGGCCAAATATCGACACCCTAGGCCTTTCGGTTATTAAGATGAAGTCGTTTAAAGTAAAATATTGATGCCGGACGACGGACGGACGGACGCCGCGCCACAAGCTCACTTGGCACTTCGTGCCAGGTGAGCTAATAAGTCGCAGCTTATTATTGAGGATTTAGGGTATATAATGAAGCAGGGATAATAAAAATGTTGATAGGAGTGACTAACAGGAAAGACAGAAGTGTGCTTCCACCAGGGATCAAACAAGCTTCCCTGCGAGTCTGCCACTTTACTAATTGAGCTACAAGAAAATTTCCTCTAGTGTGAAGCTAGAAGGTTACCCTATGTACAATTAAAATATTCCACACGAGTTTAACATGTACCTTTAACAGGTTTTTTTTCGCCCCCAAGTATAACTTGTCATCCGTATTGAGGTACAGAACAGCCAATATCAGTACTAACCATACTTATATAATTGTGGCACATTACATTACGGTCGCCTTCTAGCTTGGCGCTGGAGGGAATTTCCCTTTAGCTCAGTGGTAGAGCGTCGGACTAGGAACCCAGGGATTGGGGGTTTGATCCTCAGTGAAGCTTGCTACTTTTTTCTGTTACATTATAATAATCACATGTGTAGTAGTGTAGATTTCAGTTTCACTGCTAAAAGACAAGTATTTGATTTGGAGAAAATTTTCCTGTGTACTGAAAATTAAACTTTATCAGATACATCTACATTTTTATAACTTACCATGAATAATATGAATAGCACTGTTTTCCGTTGTCTTTCTGATGAGATATCACGACGTCATAATTTCTGATTATCATCACAGCATGTTGTTCAGATTAGCAGCCCGCACCTCACAAGTCTTGACGTTGCAATGTCAAGTTTCTTCACAGAACTCCTATTCGAATAGAAGATGAAAATACCACAATCATAAAATGGTAATATAGGCGTATTGATGTTAATTTCGGTGAATCAGGAGAGGAAGTAAATGCAGATAGATCAGAATTCCGACCCAAAACCTCCTAACCCAAGACGGACCAACACGTATTCCTGTGGTGTGGTGAAAGGTAAATTTGGTAAAGTAGGTCAAGGTCATTTATTTGATGGCACTGTTTATTATAAAGAAGTTGTTTTAAAGGTTTTTACACATTTGATCAAGGTGACCTTAAAAGTAAGTCCAAGGTCATTTACTGGAGAAAGCATCATACTATTCTATCCAAGCATGGTACTGGTGGTCAAATATCACCTAGGTCCCCATGGTTATGCAGAAGGGAGATGCTTAAAGATTTTTACACATTGATGCCTGTGACCTTGAAAGTAGGTCAAGGTCATTTATTTGAGGAAATTTTATATTACCTAATTACAGCATGCTACTAGCAGGCCATATATCATCACTAATGTGTCTTTATTATTCAAGAAGTCGTTCAAAGGTACTTCAAAGTCATTCTTTTGAGGAAACTTCATAGTGCTACATCCCAGGTATATGTACCTACTGGCCAAATATAATCACTCTGGGCTTCCTTGTTATTCAGAAGGAGTTGTGTAAACACTTTAATATATCGGACCACTGTGGCCTTTAAAGTAAGTCAAGGTAATTTTTTTGGAGGAAAGTTATAGTATTCTGACAGTCCCACTTACATATACTGTCCAAATATCTTTACTCTAGGCCTCTTGGTTATTCAGAAGAAGCTGTTTAAACTTTTTTTTACATATTTGATCGTTGTGATCTTGTAACAAATACATGAACAATACAGGTAAGCATCATTAAGTATGACTCAACCAATACACGTTACTCAAATTCATGTTTGGGACTGAAAGTCTATTTATCGAAACATTGATTACAGATTTTGGCCGTGCTACAAGGATCCTAAAGCCATAATATATTCAATCCATCATCCTCAATTTTTTCCTTTATTTTTAAAACATTCCCTTGATTATTTATCCTGTCCATCCTGATTTTTTTTTAAATTTGGGTCAAGGTCATTCTTTTGACCAAACCCTGATAGCCTTCAAAGCAAGACCTGTTGTAAACACAAAGTATCCCGACATTGTCTTTTATATAATCTTGTGTTTAATTTGTAAAACCTAAATTTCCCCCATGACCTTGAATGGATATTTTCAGCTCATACACACTTCATTTCACCAAAGAAAATATTTGTTGTGTCAAGCAAAGATGAATTACCTCCCTTTGGTTTCTAGATTGGAAGAAATCAGGTAGTGTTGGGACTTGTCTCCCTTTAGCTATGCATAAAAGTGTGGAGTTACAGATATTCTCATTGAGAGCACGTGGATAAAATCGAGATATTTAATATAAAATTTGAGAAAGATCCATTTGGTTCTTCTTGAGAAATAGCAATAACAAACTTTCAATATCAAAATCAAAGATGGCTGAGTGTCGGCCATGTTGTTTATCCGAGCAGTCCCAAAAGTTGCCCTGCACAACAAAGGACCAAGGGGAACCTACATATAAAATGTGAGAATGATCCCTCTGGCCCTTCTTGAGAAATAGCGATAACAAACTTTCAATATCAAAATCAAAGATGGCTGAGTGTCGGCCATGTTGTTTATCCGAGCAGTCCCAAAAGTTGCCCTGCACAACAAAGGACCAAGGGGAACCTACATATAAAATGTGAGAATGATCCCTCTGGCCCTTCTTGAGAAATAGCGATAACAATCTTTCAATATCAAAATCCAAGCTGGCTGCCTGTCGGCCATGTTGATCATCCGATCTGTCTCAAAAGTTGCCCTGCACAGCTAAGGACCAAGGGGAACAGACATATGAAATTTGAGAAAGATCCCTCTGGTACTTCTTGAGAAATAGCGATAACAAACGTTCAATATCAAAATCCAAGATGGCTGCCTGTCGGCCATGTTGATTATCCGATCAGTCTCAAAAGTTGCCCTGCACAGCTAAGGACCAAGGGGAACCGACATATGAAATTTGAGAAAGATCCCTTTGTCACTTCTTGAGAAATAGCGATTACAATAATTGTTTAAGGAAGGACGGCGGACGGACGACGGACCACGGACGCAGGGCGATTTAATAGCCCACGTACCAGATGATGGTGGGCTAAAAAATATAAGACGAAGAAACAACATTTTTACTGTATTATTCAGTTGAGAAATATTACTGGAATGTAGTGAAAGATGAAAACATACTGTACTTGACCAGGAATATATATATATATTTCATATCCTTGATATTTCTATTATTTATTACTGGCAGATTTAGCTATTAGACAAATTGTCTCATCAGAACACCAAGCTAATTGTGCAAAAACTGTGAACAAATCACAGTATGCTAGTTAATTAAGTGAATTTTGCTTAAGTTTAAACTTAACCTCATGCAGTTTTTGTATAATGTAAATGTATTCCATTTTCATCAACATCGAACAATATTAAGCAAGTTACCTTACGGAAACCAATGAAAAGTGTGGATGGACAGCTGGGTGCTCCCCATACCATATTAAATGCAACCAATCAAAATTGGTGCACAAGAGACTTTATGGGCCTGTACCAATAACTACACAATACTTGTGATCTTCAAACTTGTCAAAGTCAAACTGATTTAAATAGGCTACACATCATAAAACACATTTTGGGTTTTCTTGGAAGATTTTATTACTCCCCAACTTATTAATCTTCATTACCTGATAAGATCCAACACAAATATCACATTTCCCTCAAAAACCTATGTACCAAATATACAGTTGGTTTCAGTTATCACTTTTTACTATGAAAATTATTCAAGGTCAATCATTTGAAAGTCATCCCATCAAAACATGAATGACCCAATATTACCCTATGCCTATTGGTTATAAATCAGAAATCAATTATTAATATTGATGCACAACAGAACCCGTATATATCCCCTCGATTTTACATGTCAAGGTATAAATAATGCCACAAAGCTCTTTAGGGGCTGGGGAAGCTGGCAAGTTGCATGCAAGGGTTAAACTCTATATGATTGGTAAAGGTTTTGAAATCTATATATGTTCTATAATTTATTTCCCATACTGAAAATTCCACTTTCATAGTATACATTCATAGATTCATTTCCTTCCAGTAATACCTGTTATTTCCTATTTCTGAGGAAATATTTCTTTCAGCTCAGGGTATAAAATTCATGCAATTTCGTTGTTGAACGTCAATATGAATTAAGCTTGAGCCTGTGGAGACGTCTAAATATCCTCTTCTGACTAGATATGCATGTTGCTAGCAGAATAGCCTGCCAGCAACTGACTCCGGTTGCGCAGGGATTAAAACTATTTAAAATGTATTAAGCTTTTACACTATATTTTATTGTAAATACTTGTTTATTATATTAATTTATGAATGATTTTATACTGTAAGGAGTAACTAACATTTTAATAGAAATCTGTTTATTACCATTTCCTTTCCTGTAATGTTAGAGGTTCCCATTTGAATCATTAATGATAAAAGGAAGGGCAGAACTTCCTGGGGCAGTTCCTCCACAGTGTGTTCAAGTTGGACTGCATGAACACATTAAGTGTTTTTGATGACACAGTTTTCTTGGGTAGACTGTTCCAGACCTTAATTACTCGGTTACTAAAGACATTCTTACTGGTGTTTAGACTGAAAGGTTTCTTGCATATTTCTTGTCGATACAAAACCACTCCAAATTCGTTGAACAAGTAGTCTGTAAGGTATCATGGCTTGTCTACAAATAACATTCAACAAAATGTTGATGTTTCTATGTGACAGTAAGTGTACGGAGATGACAACGTCTGAAGTCATAGCTTCGACAGCCGACAGTTTGCGTCTCCGGTTTTATCTGTGCATGTCAACAAGTCGCACTTGCCAAGAAAATATCGACACACTGCCACTCTGTCGAGCGTCGACTCACCGACCGAGTGCAATGTGCATAGCATGGCGACTTGTTAGCTTGCTCTTGACCGGCTGACCAGCTTTTAGTATTTGACATCTCCCTTTTCTGCTGAAAACTGGTCAGAAAAACAGCAGAACACGCAATAGAGAGAGCGACTATACAGTTAGGGTTAGAAAAAGCGGTAGACACGTCCTCCGCCAGAGCCAGTCAGTGAGAGAGTAAGTTCTCCCGCCAAAACGTCAGAGAAACCGAACCTCTCGGGTCTTTTCACTAAGTTATGATCGTCGTATCCGAGAGATTGTTTCCACCAATCAGATCGCGCAATACAAATAACCTTTGACACAAGAAAAATGGCGTTACTGTCTGCTGAAGACCGATCTTCTCAGAATTATTAAGGTAATATGTGAATGAAAATGACCTTTCCAACCTTTTGAATTTACATAGTTTATCACCTGTCGTTATTATAAATTCATATGTGTGCTGTTTTAGTTATTATGATTTTAATTATTATGATTTCGAGACTAAAAACCATCTGTCAAACTCCGCATCTATAAACAGTCATGTGACACTGACTGATGCATACCAAACCTCGGGCTAGAAAACCTAGGCTTTTGTAGGCCTACTTTTGTTCAAACTTATCACAGTCCGACAATTTTAAGCGTACCTAGTAGGTCTAATGTAATGCGTCAGATATTTATAATATTTATATAACCAACAAATGACACATTTGTTCAGCGCCGACAATCATTGTTTACATTGAAAACGAAACAATGTTGTTTTGATTATTTATAAAATTATAATTTACTAAGATGTGTGCAAACGTTTAACGGTGCAATAGCAAAACATTTTTCGTCTGTTTATATGATTATATTGTGTGTATATGTTTTCAAGGTATGCTAAAGAATGTTAATTGTAAACAAACAAGGTTAATTATGTTAATTATATGAGGACAACATAATTAGCAGATAATGCATGCATATGATTGGTCATCTTGATATGGCCTAGCTATCAGGGGGTCATAATTTGATAGCCTAGCTATCAGGGGGTCATAATTTGATACATTAGATGTGATGTACTGTTGCAAATTATTTTTCTTCCCTTTGAGAGGTTTAATTGTTTATTCAATATTAACAATTGTTGATATTATGAATTAATTAGGATAAGCTAAGGATGCTGTGTACTTAAAGGTGATAAACAATAACAGTAATATCACACACTTGACAACTGTTTTAAATTTCCAGGGGGAGTTTACACATGCTCCAAATTAAAAGCATACATTAAATGTGTCTACATTACACCCGAGATGAAAAATATTTCAATGACATCTTTTGAGTTGTTGTTTGAGAATGAAATCACCAGATATTAGAAAATATAAATAATTTAGCAAATTCACTGGTTGAAAATGCCCAATTTAAGGGCCCAAAATCGAGAGTCTCCCACCAAAATAGGGAGAGTTGGAAAGTATGATATCAGTTTAATTGCTTTGTTAACTGATGTTACTCTAATTTTTTTGTTTTTATATATGCAATGGTAGAGCCAACGCCATGATTTAATTTCTTAATGGTGGAATAATTTGGTCCTTTGCTCCTCCAAGGCTCGTCTAGATACCCAAAAGTATGCAGGCCCCCCGGGGATTGAGTAAAAATGAGTACATCAGAAAAAAGATTCAATCACAACAGGCAAATAAGGTGCAATAGGTGGTTCTTGAAGTTTATTACTATTAGAAGTAACGACCGATTTCGCCCCTACAGTGGGCTTCTTCAGGACATTTAATCTGTTTATAATGTGAAATAATTGAAATATTTGAAAATAATTCACCGTTGTAAACATCCTGGTGATAGGATTGTAAGTTTCAAATTGCTTTAGATACATATTTCACGTGCTATTTAACAAATGAATATGAAACGTGACAACATTTGATGCAGGCCTTACAGTTCTTAGGCAAAAAAAAAAATGTGTTTCTGCTAACTGTAACTATACCCTAGATTTTGTGCCTGCCCTAAAGTTTGTATTGGCATTTAGTTCTACATGCGCTGTCAAAGACAGAACTCCTGCTCTATGTATATGTATCGAAAAAATATTTTCAGAAATAAAATGTAAAAATTGCCTAACTAACTTCAAAATACACCATTTTTCTTCAGGATTAATAGTGGAAATACAAATAATGTTTTGGTCGTATTTTGGCACTGTGCTACAGCTGCTTCTTTATACATCTGTATATATTTGTTTTAAAAGGAGGAAATTTAAAGGGCAGAAAAAAACCTTTACAATACTACCATAACCAGGTATAGATGCATCCAGGATAGTTATCATAAAGGTGTGTGTGTACTACCTATGGACTTACTTGCATTGACCAACTTAAAATTACAAGTTACAACGCCTTCATTATGCCTATACAATTTGTTATATGGACATCCTGCAGCTGTTACCAGACAATTAACTGTTCAGTACCTTCACAGGTGACAGGTATGAGCTATACTGATGTGTATATAACTATATAAGACTGTGTACCACCCCAATTAATTGTCATCTGTGTGGTAGCCATGCAGTGCTTCATTCTTATTTAGCCTAAGGCCAAAATAAATACTGTATTTGACTTAATAAGCACACCTGCCTGTATAAGCGCATCCTCGCCTTTTTAAGAAAGATGATGGATGTGCTTCATTAACTCATTCACCCCTGAAGACACATTTGAAATCTTCCAATTTAAAGGATGGAATAGTTCATTATGAAATTGTAGGGATGAATGAGTTAAAACCTGTCATTAAAGTTGCTATAATTATATAACCTCACTGATCTATAGTTGCCAGTTTTTTCCATCAAACACTTTGTGCCCTTTAAATAATAATAATAATAATATACAACATTTATATTGCCCTATATAGTTTGTAAAATTACTCTATAGCGCTTTACAACATGAATAATAGAAAAGTTATAATTGCATGTGAAACAAAAAAAAAAGCGAGCAGATAACCATCGCAATGTGCACATTAATGAATAAAAAAAGGGTGGTATTTACATGACGTCTTTGCAAAGAGCCTTTACAGTGTTCACATAACTTTTTAAGGCATAACAGTAAAAAATCTATATGTAAATATGGGTCCCAAGTACTATACTCATAGAATTTGAATTGAAGCTGTCCAATGTTCTTTGAAACTTTTTTCTTGCAATACTGTACATATACAGTATACTGGAACACGTAATGGTTGGTTGGTTGATGAGTTTATAGTCTACACTTCACTGACAAAGTTGGTGTTCGGTCGACTTGAGTGGGTAAGTTGTCGCTTACTGGGCCTTCGGCGATTCAAAAATCCTGCCCATCCAGGTCACGATCTGAGGTCGGACAATCCTCAGAGGTGGACAGGCTGTTGCAGTTGCTGTGGACCACAGATCGATGTCCTTCGAGTAATCCCTGCTGCCCTCCTATGCCAACACATAATGTTGACAGGCCTATAGGCCAATTTACATTTTTGACTTCTTCGCCAAAACCCCTGAACCAATTTTATTGAAATTTTTCAGAAACCTGCCATGGCCAAATGTCAACAAAAATAGAGGAGGATATGGTCCTCAGCCCCCAGGGGCCTGAGGGGCAGGGCCAAAAAGGGTCAAATTGACTAAAATTTCAAACATCTTCTTCTCAAGACCCAGATATGGTAGAATCAAATTCTCTTCATAGATGGAAGGGTCTTAAGGTGCTTTACCAAAATTGTGAATTTTTTGACCCTGGGGTCTTAAGTTTCCCCCTGGGGAAGGGGGGGGGGGGAGCAAAATGTATTATGGCCAATGATACTTAAGCTTTGAATATTACATGTTGATAACTTGATATGAATTTTAACCCTGAGTTGACAGTTTGATACTTTGAAAATTTTGAGCCAGCTCTACCCCCAAGGGTGCGCAAAGGAGTCATTGTTCTAAAATTACTTCATTTTCTTTGTTTAGAATCAGAGGTGCTAGTTTCAAATACTTTTCAGTCTTAAATCTGTATGCTAGATATTGAATAAGGTTGATTTATTGTTTTTTGTCACTTTGAATAATATTTTTGTTCATGTTTTAAAAACAAAAATCAACTCTCTGTATAAATATATCAGAACTCGGGTGACCGTTAAGGCCCAAAGGCCTCTTGTTTAATTGCACATCAACCAATCTATGTCTCTTTCTCTGTTATTCAGAATTTATACTTTATACCCGACTTTGAAAAATTCAGCTTCAATTGTATATATGAAACAAATTGTAAATACATTGGTCATCTGATCAAGAATTAATAAAAAGGTAAAAAATATTGATTCTAAAAGCATTATTATATTATTTTTTACTTTACTCTCAATCCTCTTCAAACAAAGACCTGAATAAATCAGTAACAATTTGTTTGGTTCCATTTTGATTTGATTTTTCAAGAGACCAAGAAACAAGATATTAAATTATATACATGTACATGCATGCAGACTGGTTATTGTCAAAAGTTGTTTCCAACAAAATAATCAATTTCTATCTATGTCTGAAATATGCATCTATAATTTCATATTTTTCTGGTTGAGATCTGTCACTGTGACCTATATTTTGACCTTTGACCTTAATCTAAAGTGCAAAATATTTGCGATATAACTAGTCTAGTCATCAAATTTAGTATGCTGCTACATCTTGGGAAGGTGGATTGTGCATGCTCTGTAAGTGGGTTAAATATGATAATTAACTCTCCTACTTGTCTCTGTGAATTGAGTCCATAGCGATGGGAGAATTAATTAGCAACCTGTTGCAATCTTGTTTTCTATGAAATTATCAGTCATTAAAATAGCTTGTGTAATTGCCTTAATTTACAAATTGTATATGTACTGACTGTACACATCAAGACCAAGGTAAAACCTGAGAACCCTTGATTTCAAATATATTCATGCTTTAGATACCACACAAAGAAATCTGGACAGTGCTACTGGTTAAGTAATTATGTTACAGTCTGTTGGGATAGGGCTTTGAAGTTTTATGTAAATGCAATGAGATCACAAGATATTGAATTATACTGTTCTTAACTGTGGGCTATCTATGTACATCATTCTGTTTAGAATGCAAAATTTTCAATCTATTATGAAATACATGTCATTTTATTTTCTTAAATTCTTTTGAAAAAATCCAAAAATTCATCTGAAATCTACTTTCAGGAAAACCTGACATGAGGATTTTTGAGAATAAAAATTGATTGGTTTGAACTGTAGGCTAACATCTTTGGCCTTGCACAAGCTTCTTTGTTTTCTCTCAGATTTTAATGCCTCTAATTTTTTATTGTTCTGCATCATTCAAACACTTATCATCGGGGAATTTTAAGGTATATTTGGGAAATGAGTTAAATTTTTGTTGCACTGTTTGGTATACAATGTATGGGCATTAAAAACAATTGTTTGATAGTTTAATTTAAACATCTTTATGGCCAAAACATTGAACAAGGGATTGTTCAGACACTCTTAAGTTATCATCTATTAAATTAACACACCTAAGTGCTTCAGTCACATTTGCGGCGATTTCCAAAAAAATGCCTGGGCAATGAGTTTCTTGGCCAAAAGTGTCCGGCGAACCAGGGGACCGTTAGGACGCCGGGAGATTATCGGCCACTATCAGCCGATTTTTAGATGCTGCACTGGTTGCCGGGTGGACGGGTGCAGTACGGCAATCGTAAGGTAGTCGCTCGATGTCTGTACGGGTGCGATACGGCAATGGTAAGGTAGCCTCAAACTGTGCAGTGTCCGTGGGATATTCGGCCAGCGCCCAGATGGCACACATACAGGCATATCTATTACATGCCATATAAAATGCAAAATATTGTACCCTGTCTACCACTTGGCTGCATGAACATCTTCCGGTTACTATACGACAGCCCGGCCATCGCCAGCTGGCCTTGTGATAGTCTTACGGGCTCCCTATGGTATCCTTCAGATTTCATCCGGCAAATTGTTTGCGGGGTCGTGCGGTTCCTGTTTCTAATGTGACCATACTAACGTCAAATCTCAGACATCGGAATAAAGTCCCCGTGCCCGGGACGCTGGGAAGCCGGCTGATTCCTACCTCCCGGCCGGTGGCCAGCACAAATGTGACTGAAACATAATATAAATCATTACTATTATTATGATGTAAACACGGAAATTAGATCAGAATATTTTGGCTTGTATTTGTAGTAAAACAAAGCGGATATGTTTCTATTTCGCAAAATAAAAATTGAATAACTATTAATTGTTCCACTGATATCAAGTGTTATAGCCATTATAAGTTAATGTAGAAATTCATGTGAGCATTAAAAACATGATACCGGCATTATCTTTGTTGACAGATATCAATTTTCAGTGCATTACTCGGTGAAAAATAAATTTGTGTTGTCTGTACATATATCACAATATTGCTAGTTTATCATATTTGCATATTGATTTTTTTTTATCTCATTACCAAGCTTTGAGCAGAATGATATGACCTTCAGTGACCTTGAGAGAGAAAAAAAGATAGAAAAATGGCTACTTCTCATTTCTGTTTCACATTTATTATTATTATTAGAACTTGAACCAAATCAATTTAACCCTGCTGGCCTGATAATTAATGTGAGCGTACTAAATATAGAACTCTCAGCCATCTCCCATACACCTCACACATCAGGTGTATATTATGTATGTATATATGTATGTATATACATATATATAGCCCCTTTAAGGCCAGTATGTAGATGTTGATTATTCCCCTCTAAATAGGGTGGATTGGAAAAAAAACAAGGAACAAAAAATGTCAATATTTCCAAGTTTCATGCTTAGTTTGTTCCATTTAAAAGGGCAATTTAAATCCAAAACTGTCGAAAATTTAAATGTAATTGTTATGTCGGCCAGAGCAGCCAAACGGAAGTTTAGCGTGGTCTGTACAGAGTCTATAATAAAGCTATTATTGATTGATCTATCGGAGGCTGGTGGCCTTCTATCCCTGTTAGATCAATGGATTCATCTCTGCCTCTGACGCAGAAATTCTCTCCAAGAAAAATCAATAATCTCTCCCACCAACAACATGACATCACCCTAACTACTGAAGGGAATGGTACTCGGAGGTTCCAATGGGAAATTTTACCGAGATTAAAAACCAAATACTGAATATTTCAAACGTTTTTCCTGGAATCAGACTTGCCAGAAAATTCCGTCAGTAATAATTTCAACATTCACAATGAAGCTGTGAATTTTATCACAGGTGCATATATGATTGTATGTGTATCAGTGCTTGTTTTAAAAAGTCCATATATTGATTGACTATGTACGTTTGGCCCATTTACTTGTAAGCAGACCTTTCCATTGATTTTACACAACTCATCAGTGTTTTCATCGTGTTTGCCACCATTGTTGGTTAATCTAATGATGTTCTTAATGGGTACGTCTTTCCACACCAAGTAATCAAATAGTACTATACACCTAAAATGAGGGTGTCATCATGTGAAATTTTGTTTGCAAAAATGGATTTCGTTTCCAATTGATCTTCTGTTTTCCCTGAGTGCACCCCATCTGATTGGAAGTGCATTACATATTCATTAGACATAGCTTAGCTCTTCCTGGTGTGCTTCAGACTGTCCACAAAAAGTGGCTTACGCTCAAGTTGGATTTACAGACACCCGCTAAGGTAAGCATGTGGAACAACGGAGAAATCTTGTTATAAGGCATTGTATTTAACGGCGTGATGCAGAATTCGTAAGAAGGTTGTGATGCTGTTGAAACCGAATTCCGGTAGTGTAGCTATCAGACACGGAGCCAGACATTACCTCATGTAACACACATAGATAAACATAATAGATGATAAGTTGGCGAGTCGAGTCCCGTTCCGAAGAATCGCAATTGTTACACCTGACCTTGCTAATCAGTATTGACATAATTCATCACAACTCTCCACAGGTACAATGATTTTACTAAATTTATTGACTTCATTTTCAGCTGCACATGGAATGCTTTCATTTTTGCTTTCTGAATATGAAATTTTTGCTCGTTCAGCATTTTGGGTGAATTATGTTAATTGGGATGTGTTTTTCTATGGATCGAAGCGACGTCCAATATTATAATAAGAAAGCAAATGAGTCAATACTGAGAGACATGACGTTATACCGAGTACATTATCATAACAGGACCTACCACTACCAAATCTTAGCAAACCTTTTTCGCCATATTGCTGCGTAGTGAAACGTTTTATCAGTGTGTGGGACATTCTGATAACTTGTTTTTTATATTGTTTGACTTCAGCAACAAGATGGAGTTGTGAGAGGGAGGAGTGGAAATCAGGCGGAAGATTTCTTGTCGGATTCCAGCATCCGAATCGGACCTTCCCAGGATACCTACAATAACAAGCCGCCATACCAAAATGGATCATATACCAAATGTACATCTGTAGATTCTCATCATAAGGAGCTTAGGCACTAAATCCTCTTGAATATTCCTAAAGTTTAAACAGGAGACACCAAAAAGGTTTGTACATTTCATTATTCACAAAAAAATCCTCAAAATGTTCATCGTTTTCTGTAATTGCTTCACAAGCTGTTTGCAATTGTTGGGATGACGTATGTACAGTTTGAATATACAGAGTGTCCTGACCTGCCTCTGGGACTTTTTCTGATTGAAATATTTTATTTTGTGTTTCATGTTTATTTATTTTCTTATTTTGTTTTAATTTATTTTTTTGGAAATAAAGGTATCTTTTCATATAGTTGCTACGCTTGAAAAGTACATGCATCATATTATGTAATGTCAGCAGACTGTCTTCATTGTGTCCTATAACTGGCCTGTGCATTTTAATTATGTTCATGTCTTTTATATGTGTAGGTGTATTTAAGTATAAGTTGTATTTATAGACATGTGGTAATCATAGACAGGTATTAGATGAAGACAGATGTATTTATAGACAGTTGGTAATCATAGACAGGTATTAGATGTAGACAGATGTATTTATAGACAGTTGGTAATCATAGACAGGTGGTAATCATAGACAGGTATTAGATGAAGACAGATATATTTATAGACAGGTGGTTATCATAGACAGATATTAGATGTAGACAGATGTATTTATAGACAGGTGGTCATCATAGACAGGTATTAGATGTAGACAGATGTATTTATAGACAGGTGGTCATCATAGACAGGCATTAGATGTAGACAGATGTATTTATAAACAGGTGGTTATCATAGCCAGGTATTAAATCTAGACAGATGTATTTATAGACAGGTAGTAATCATAGACAGGTATTAGATGAAGACAGCTGTATTTATAGACAAGTGGTATCATAGACAGGTATTAGATGTAGACAAATGTATTTATAGACAGGTGGTAATCATAGGAATGTATTAGATATAGACCGATGTATATATAGACAGGAGGTAATCATAGACAGGTATTAGATGTAGACAGATGTATTTATAGACAAGTGGTTATCATAGCCAGGTATTAAATGTAGACAGATGTATTTATAGACAGGTGGTTATCATAGACAGGTATGAGATGTAGACAGATGTATTTATAGACAGGTGGTCATCATAGACAGGTATTAGATGTAGACAGATGTATTTATAAACAGGTGGTTATCATAGCCAGGTATTAAATGTAGACAGATGTATTTATATACAGGTGGTTATCATAGACAGGTATTAGATGTAGACAGATGTATTTATAAACAGGTGGTTATCATAGCCAGGTATTAAATGTAGCCAGATGTATTTATAGACAAGTGGTAATCATAGACAGGCAATAGATGTAGACAGATGTATTTATAGACAGGTGGTAATCATAGACAGGTTTTAGATGTAGACAGATGTATTTATAGACATGTGGTAATCATAGACAGGTATTAGATATAGACCGATGTATGTATAGACAGGTGGTAATCATAGACAGGTATTAGATATAGACCGATGTATGTATAGACAGGTGGTAATCATAGACAGGTATTAGATATAGACCGATGTATGTATAGACAGGTGGTAATCATAGACAGGTATTAGATATAGACCGATGTATATATAGACAGGAGGCAATCATAGACAGGTATTAGATGTAGACAGACGTAGTTATAGACAGGTGGTAATCATAGACAGGTATTAGATGTAGACAGATGTATTTATAAACAGGTGGTTATCATAGCCAGGTATTAAATGTAGACAGATGTATTTATATACAGGTGGTTATCATAGACAGGTATTAGATGTAGACAGATGTATTTATAGACATGTGGTAATCATAGACAGGTATTGGATGTTGACAGATGTAATTATATACAATGTATATTTTCTGTATGATGTCTTTTCCTCCTTTAGGATGAGGGGCAGGGTAAAAGCAGTCAAATTTGATGACTTGATTTAAATGATATCTCCTCCTAATGTACTTGGCACATTCAACCATATTGTATGGTGGTTCCACCTGGGGACTTGAGAATCAAAACTGGTACAAATCAAAAAGCTGAAGATTTACTGGGGGCTGAGTGGCTGTGTTAGAAGTTTCAAATTTGCTGATTTAATTTGATACAAATTATAATGATAATAATAATTTGAGGTTCTTATATACTGCTTTATCACAACCGAGTTCATACATAGGTCGTCTCAAAGCGGTTCACAATTTTTTTCTGTGGATATAGGGCCTTTGCAACCAGCCAATATCTTGCTCAACTCCTTGGGGAGCATACAGCCCATGCTGCTATTTCGGCGCTCACAGCTAGCATGCAACAATTCTAGCTCTGCCCAACCACATACTCATTTACAGCTGAGTAGACTGGAACAAGTGGAGTAAAGTATCTTGTTCAAAGATACAACACAGTGCCTTGACATGACTCGAACCTGCAATATAGCTACATTGTCCAAAAAGGGTTATTTGGCTATATTGCTGTAAGAGACTTCTTCTCTGGAACCAAGAGATGGATATCAACCATAATTGATTGGAAGCACCCCTAGGTGGTCGGGATTCCAAATTGTACAAATGGTGGGGCTGACCTCCCAGGGGGCTGAGGGGCGCGGGCAATTTGGCTATATTGCTATAAACAACTTCTTATGTAGAACTATGACATGGATATCAATAATATTTGATTGGAAGCATTCATGGGAGGTGGGAATTCAAGATTGTACAAATGGTAGGGCTGACCCCCAAGGCTAAGTGGAGGGGCCATAAAAAGTTTATTACATGGAAATGGTTGAGATCCCCACCGTACAACCATATATATAATTGCTGAGTATAAAGAGAAGAATGCACAATTGCTTCCACTGGATGCCCCTGGGGTATGGCACCACCCTAGGAGACATAGTCCCTGGGTCATAACTTGGAAACAGTTGAGATCCCCACCCCAAAACTATATATACAAATGCTGGGTAGGTCAAGGGACCTAGTTTCTGAGTTGCAGCTTGGAAACAGTTGAGATCCCCACCCTATAACCATGCATATATACAAATGCTGAATATAAAGAGATGAATGCACATACGCTTCCAGGATGGCCTCGGGGTCTGTCCCACCCTTGGAGACTTAACCCCTGGGTCATAACTTTGAAACGGTTAAGATCCCCACCCCAAAACTATATATGCAAATGCTGGGCATAAAGAAACAAATGCAGTCATGATATAAGAATAGACCCTGGGGTCTGACCAAACCCCTTGCGCAAGGGACCTAGTTTCCGAGTCACAGCTTGGAAACAGTTGAGATCCCCACCCTATAATCATATATACAAATGCTGAATATAAAGAGACGAATGCACATACGCTTCCAGGATGGCCTCGGGGTCTGTCCCACCCTTGGAGACTTAACCCCTGGGTCATAACTTTGAAACGGTTAAGATCCCCACCCCAAAACTACATGTATATATTCAAATGCTGGGCATAAAGAGACGAATGCAGTCACAATATTATATGTTATATGTTATGATCATAATTGATCCTGGGGTCTGGCCACAACCCTAGGGACCTAGTTTCTGAGTCACAGCGTGGAAACAGTTGAGATCCCCACCCCATAATAACCATAAATAAAATTGCTGGGCATGCAAACTTTAATATAGATATGCTACAAGGACTTGCCTTGGGGTCTAGCCTATTCCCTTCGATCTCATTTGGAAAATATTTTGCCATGATTGTTTAGATAGCCAGGTGAGCGATACAGGCCTCTGGGCCTCTTATTTTTATTTTATTTCTGAAATATTTTTTCTGTTCAGGAAGATGTCGTCTGTAAAGGTAGCTGTGCGTGTACGTCCATTTAATGGGCGAGAGAAGGCCCATAACTCCGTCGCCATCATTCAGATGTCCGGGAAAAGCACAAGTAAGAGTCTTGGGGAGGTAGCAACTCACAGTCTAACAAAAGTGATGTTTTCAAACAAATTCCTATTACACAGAAATTTTATGAAAAGTTGATCAAGCTTGTTTGATAAAATTTTGATGGAGTCATATGATAACCTTAGTTGTAAAACAATACTGTCATAAAATGGAGTAGAAGAAACCCCATGGGACAAATCTTCCTTTTTTGCCTTTCACTATTGAATTTATAATTTCATCAAGTTGTAACTTAACTCATTCACCCCTGAAATTTCATAATGAACTATTCCAACCTTTGAATTGGAAGAGTTCAATTGTGTCTTCAGGGTTGAATATGTTAAGATTGTACACATTTTATATTTACCACTAATATGTAAGTAAGTGAGAATGTTCATTACCCATACAGAATGATGGTACATGTGTATTTATTTTTACCGCAAATTATTGCTGTTACATATTGTAAATTCTATTTCCAGCCATAACCAACCCTAAAGCTGGACCCAAAGACATAAACTTGAAGACGTATGAGTTTGATTATTCTTACTGGTCTCATACCACAGTAAGTATAACTATTAATAAGCTGTTATTTTTCTTCTCACCCCAAATGGTATTTTGGTCTTGTCTTCTGGTTTTCTGTCAGTGTTTTGAGATGCTAAATTGGCTTTTAACTCATTCACCCCTAAAATTTCAAAATGAACTATTCCAACCTTTGAATTGGGGGAGCTCAAATGTGTCTTCAGGGGTGAATGAGTTAATTTGGGAAAATGTACCGGACCATACTTGTTTTTCTAAGTCCTATATATTTGTTGTAAAAAGACTGATAAAAGTTTAGACATAATGCTGTCTGAATGTAAAAGAAATAAAGATAAAATTAATGAAGTGTACTGCTGATACTCCTCATCAAAATGTATGTCAAACTTAAAAATTAAAACTATAAGCATATGTACAATACACAGTAAAGCTGAAATTTTATATGAGAAAAATCTTGAATGCTATTTTTTGACACCTGCGTTAGGTATTTGAATTATTTATTAAAAATCCAGACAAAAGACTTTGGAATATATACAAGGAAGGATAACAGTGGAACAATTATCATTTGTACACAATTTATACCAAAATAGTATTAAGTATCTAATATATGCACTGTATTCTGGGATATTTTCGTTGTAATTTGATTATTGCCTTTTTTATCTGTCGTAATGAGGGCAAATTTATCAATACAGCGGACATGAGTAAACAACAAAATATGTAATTAAATGTGAAGGGCAAAATTAGCACGGGGCAAATATGGATTATTCTGATGGAGAGCAAAAATTTAACTGGGCAAAATTTTTGACTGGGTGAAAATTTTCCGATACACATTATTTATATACAATAATTGTATAATATACAGCAGTAAATCTGCCTATTTTGTCACTGAAATTTTCCATTAAATTCATATTTACTTAAAACCAGCATGCAAATATTCACCCAGGGCATGATGCTCATTAAAAAAACATTTTTAAGTGGCAGCATTATAATTATTAACAATTTTCACACGAGTTTGAAATTTCAGAATGGGATTATTTTTACCAACAAAAACTGTATTTCTATATTTTTTTGTGTGCTACGTTTTTCAGCCTGAAGACCCACATTTTGCCTCCCAGCGGGAAGTCTATGAGGATATTGGGCTAGAAATGCTTGACCATGCCTTCGAGGGCTACAACGTGTGTATCTTTGCTTATGGACAGACCGGTTCAGGCAAAAGTTACACAATGATGGGAAAGAATGAGCCAGGACAACAGGGAATAATTCCACAGGTAAGATATAATATTTGATTACTTTTCAAGTTCGAGTAAAACATATATATTGCCCAGAAGTTAGAACTTAAATACTTTAAAATTTGATATTTTTACTTTTATAAGTTATAAAACAAGTTATATCAACTTGTTAATCACTCTTGTTTGGCCGGATATTAGTGCGCAGGGGGTCTAAATGTTGGAGGAAACTGTTGTACCCGGAGAAAACCCACATGGTCGTACATGTGACCCCATACCTTTTCAAGTTTGATCGGGGAATAGAACCCTGTCGCCTTGGTGAAAGGCGGGTGCGTTATCCATTGCGACACCAATTGCAAAATGTTTAATACTTGATGTTATAAATATAATAACAAAGCCTATGAAACCAAGACGAAAATGTAAAAAAAACTTTCTTGGCAACAAGTTGTCTGAATCAAAATTCATTTATATTTAAGTCATTAATGGCCCTGATACTAGGGTGATATGAAGGTTTGTTAACCTGAAGCAGTCATCATTCAAGTTAAATAAGACTGATGACAGTAAACAAAAACCTTCATATCACTCTACCACCAGGGCTACAATTGTAAATTATACTGAATACAAATTGTCACATTTTATTATCAAATAATCAAAAAGGAAATGTACGGATTATCAAAATGACCAAACAGATTTGGAAAGGAAGACAGCTGCCATTGTTGCTGATGTTGTAAAAGAGCGATAACCGTCACAGGAAATCAATAAATGTTCTCAAGGGGTATAGTCCCTGCTGGGAGATACATTGGTTTATTTCAACATTGAGCTTTTGTACAGTGAGACAAAATGATTAACCTCACAGTCATTTAATGTGTCTTAAGGAATTAAGAAAAATGTGAGGCAGATAAGATACAACACTGGAAATTTCCGCTGCAGTTCAATTTTCGCCTTTTTTGACCTCTGTTAATAGGGGCGAATTTATCATTACAGCAAACCTTTTAAACCCTTTCACCACTGTAGACCATAATGGACTCATTCAGATCAATGTATGGTAGAGTCTACTAAAGTTATCGAGGGGTGAAATGGTTAAACAACATAATACACATTGAAATTAAATGTGAAGGGCAAATGCAATATTGGCCGCAACTTAAACTTACTGTCGAAAGGTGAAAATTTGACTGTACGTAAATTTCTCGGTATACCGTAGAATATACAATTTATTGCTAGAATTGTAAAACTCTTGTTTTTTGTTGTTACAGTTATGTGAAGATCTGTTTGTAAGAATAAAAGACAGAAGCTCTGCTATGACAAATTACTCCTGTGAGGTAAGTAATTATAATACGCAACTCTCACTCCGTTCAATGGAATCATCAGAACTCTTTTGTATCCAGCTTCTTTAACCCCAGTGACGCCTTAAGTTAAAATTTGAATTATTACCATATTTGTCCAGCAATAAGCCCACCCTTATCTGTCTATTGAGGTTAAGTTAAGGAACGTTTCTAACACCATGCCAGCAAGTCACTAGGCAAACTTAACTCCTGTGAGGTAAGTGTTGCACAACTCACACCCTGTTTGTGGGAATTTGAGTGGAACTCTTTTGTATCAAGCTTCTTTAACCCAGAGACGCCTTAAGTAAAAATTAGAATCAGTACCATATTTTAATTTGCCCTGCAATAAGCCCACCCTTATCTGTCTATTGCGGTTAGGAGGAGTGCAGACAAAAACTATGTTCTTGCACACACTCCTCTTATAAACTTAACTCCACTACTTTAAGTCAGAGATTATGTTTTGGCAGCTGCAGGATAAATATGGTAACATTTTCATGTATATATTAAATCTGCAAAAAAAAATCTACATGTCCTGAGTTTCAAAATAGTTATCAAATCTGCAAAATAAAATCTGCAGAGATTCAAAATGATCACTTTCAGCTAACTCATTCACCCTAAAGACACATTTGAACTCTTCCAATTCAAAGGTTGGAATAGTTAATTATGAAATTTCAGGAGTGAATGACTTAATATGTACAAACATATTCCTAATTTTGTATTTGTTAATTTGTTTTTTCAAAAAGTTTCATTATTTTTTTTACTCGTCAAATCATTAAGAAAATCATTCAGAAATTAATTCTGCATTCTCTTATCAATGGAAAGGTATCTAGTATTCTGATTGGTTTTTCATTTACATAATAGAAGTTCTGGTATTTCCATTTATAATACAATACAGCATGCTTGAAATAAAATCATAATAAAGGTATTAAATATTTCACAATTATTCCCATCCTGATCATAGACTGGAACTACGTACATTTTTATTTGCAAGGTTGAAAGATGCTTTTCCTATACATATCTGAATGCTATGGGAGAAAAAATCCTGAAAATTGTGATGAATGCTTATCATATTTATTGCTTAAGACTTCAGACCAATAAGCAAAAGTTTGAACAAAAAAAAAACCCAACATAATCTGTCATTAAGCAAAACTTGAACAGAGGCACTTTGCGATATATTGTGCAATATTTAAGTGATGAAAATGCTCAAATATCTTCTTCTGAGGAACAGAAAAGCTTAGAGTCACAGTGTTTGCCCAATGACTTGCTGGCATGATCTGGTGTGTTACTAAAATATGCTTAAAGAAATTACCTTGATCTTTTTAATCCAGTTCAAAATTGTCAAAAGGCTCAAACAGATCTAGTTTCTCCGAAAGAACTGAGTCGTGATATTTTTTTCAGTAGCTTGCTTGCAAATATAAAAGCTAAAATTTTAAGAAATAAAAGATTTGTGTTGACCACTGTTCAAGGTCACGTGGGTCATATTTGTTAAAATGCTCAAAGACTTCTCTAGAAGAGCTGAACAACCTAGAGTTGAGATATTTGGCAGGTAACTTGCTTGTGTGAAATGCTCAAAATCTTGTAAAAAGAAATTAACCAGTTCATCGATATTAAAGATGACAGTTCAGATTTGTTCAAACACTTCAATGACTTCTTTTAACTCATCGACCCCTGAAATTTCATAATGAACTATTCCAACCTTTGAATTGGGAGAGTTCAAATGTGTCTTCAGGAGTAAATAAGTTAAAGAATCAAAAAGCATAGAGTCATAATATACGGCAGTAGCTCACTTGCATAGAGTACTACAACATTTACAAAAAGAATTGTCTTTGACCCACTTTAAAGGTCATAGGGGTCAAATTTGTTAGAACTTTCTGCAGGAAATTGGAAACTGCCACATATTGGTCTCTGGGATCCATCTGCTAATTAATTTGTTGCTGTTATCAACTGCGTATTGAAGTTTCATTTATAAAAGGGTCAATTTCATTCATTCTTTAACATCCAAAGCCAAACCCAGTAATATCATTGGCTCTAATCCTACGTCTAAGATTTCTATTTAGAAGCAGGTGCTATTCTCATCCTTGTTTTTAAAAAAATAACGAGACGATTTTCCGGGAGAAAATGTTTTGCCTGATGCAAATCCAATAAGAGCATGCGGTAATTGAGTTGCATCCCCAGCAGGCAGAATTGATGGAGATTCATGGGTTCTATCGTAGCAAGGCTCTGTAAATGTCACGCTCACAATGTTTTTAATCGTGCAAGTTTGGCATGACAATGCTGAATATAGAATTTTCATCGGAAGAATTCCGGTTAAGGGAAACTGTTTTTGAATATATATTTGGATCAGTAATAAATTCATCATGTTGTGTTCAGTATTTCATTTCCGAAACATAGCTTGGTTCAATCATAAAAAATAAATACAGATAATAAAAAGTCAGTGAGTTAAATGAATTGTGCTTTTGCTCTCGTTTTGTTCCCTAGTGCATTACCTACCTTTATAATAAAAGTCTTAAATGCTGTTTCCTGCTATATACATTTACCTAAGTTAAAAATAATACAATTTTTTTTTAAAAACCTTCATCTTCCTTAACGAACTGATCTACACCAAGAAAGATAGGTCCAATTTATGAATGTGATGTTGATAACAGAAATTAGCAAATAAATTCCAAGTTGAAATTTTCACTTTTTATGAGGCCAAAAATGACCCGTAACGCCCCAAGTATTTTGCCGAGACTCCAAATTTGTGTTATCTGGTCAACTTATCTTTGAATTTCAAATTCTCTTATGGCCGGAATGGTGAATTCCATTTAGAGATCCACCCACTGGTTTGAAATCATTTTCCTTTATGGATGTTAAACTGTATTTTTTCATAAATTGAAAGAACTGATGGACATATTACCCATCATTGTACAATCTATTCTTTCATTGGTCTCTATGGTTCCATGTGTTAGTACAAATTACCATATTATTTTGTCAGTAAGCCCATGCCTGCATGGTAATTATAATAAGCCCACCGATATCTATTTCATTTCAGCAAAATATTTTGTTGTCCAGTAAAAAGCCTATCCCCTACTTTGAGTCAGTAAATATATGTCAGCACCTGGGCTGATTAAACAGGATAAATGTGGTAATTATATCCAATAAATACTTAGCTGCAGATTTTTAAAAGAGTGTTCTTCAAAATGTTAATTATAAAAAAAATGAAAGTTTTAAATTAAAGTACTTGATATAATTTGAAACGTTCATAATAAAGAGCAAGTTCTCTTATTTCATACATTGTGTAAAATAAACAAAAGTCCCATAGCAGTCTATGATTGATGTTGTCATGATCAGTCTATAATAATATATAGTTATTTTGACTTGTATTAATTGTAAAGGTATTATATATAAAGAGACATTTGCAAAAAAGATTCCCGATTTTTCACAATGTTTTTCACTTCCTTTTTCCTGTCAATATATATACTGTATGTCCCTTTCCCAATGGATTTAGAGATTTTTGTTTTTAATGTGATAAAGAAATTTAAAAAGAAATCTAATATCAATTTAAAAAAAAAGCTTTTTTGAGATGCTGTACATGTAGCAGAAAAAAATTGGTTTCATAATTTTACTAATAGATCATCTCCATAATAATATCCTGCACAGTTTTAAAATCAAAATTGAAATGTGAAGAAAAAATGCAACATATACATTTCCCAAAGGTGGTAAAGTGAGATTGAGGAAGAGCCCTGATTTGTATTCCTGTTCCAGTTTGGAACAACATGTATATACACAGCTATTATACATGTTATCTGTCTTGTATCAATTATGCATGTTGTACTACCCCATTAATTTTAATGAGATATATCCCCTGATGTAAGGCTTATTAACATATGTCAATCAATATCCTCTCTATGGGTGATAGAGTGCTCTCTGACTCACACCTGTCGTGAAGGAATCTTGTATATATTCCAGGTTTTATATTCCAATATTTCAATTCCATGAAAAGTCGAGGTAATCTTAAAATTCAAGGATTTGTTTTACTTCAACACTGTAGTCAATGCAATTTAGTGGCCTTGTCCGTATAGCAATTTGTGAAAATAAAAATGATTGCAATACCTAACTCAGTCATCCAAAGATATAGGCATAATAAAATACCTTCCTTAATCCTAAAAAAATAGTCATAATAAAGAAAAAATATTTCATGTAAAATTGTAAATTATGGTGAATGGATAGGACTATCGGACCAGAAATAAAGGGATTGAGGGTGTTTATTAATAGGGATGGGGGGAAGATGGGGGAGGGACAAACAGTATGTAATTGAACTTTAACACCAATGTCGAACTACAAGAGTAGGGTTGTCACAATATATCGGAAAACAGGTATATCGCAATATACTGGTATATCGTATTGTACCACAATACAGAGATGAAATATTGCTGTATCCCAACATTTTTTTAAAAACTTATTTTTATGTATCTTATTCTGCTTGGTGTTTTAACTTTGCAAATTACTACAAATTCTAACAGATAAGCATACAACAGGCTTTTAATAGTGGTGGGAATTATTTCAAATTTTGTAATCGATGGTTGGTTTGACAAAATTCTTAAATCTTTGTGATCCGCATTATATATGATTAAGTTTGATAACATTCTGACATCAACTTATAAAATCGAGCACATCCTTCCTATGACAATATATCGGGATACGTATCACAATATTTTCATTCTGTATTGCAATATATCGTGATACACTCCTGGCGTATTGTGACACCCCTATACATAAGAGTCTGATTGGGTTGGAGGAAACGGAGACCAATTGAGTTAAAGAACTGTTACACTTCAGCCTAGAACATAAGACAATAAGTCTGGTCGATATAACCTGAGGCTACGTTAAAGGTCTGTACAAATTCGAACCTGAGACAGAAATCTAAGGTCTATAGGGATTGGCCGTCACATCACGTTTAGTATGTTAGTCTACTTAGGGTCTGCAGGAATATCTAGCCGTGTGCACTGGATAAATCA